CTGTTGCATGAACTTACAATACAGGAGAAAAAAAAAAGGTTTTAAAGGTTTTATTATTTAAAAAAATAATAATAACCTCAAGTCAGTAACAATAATTTAATACTGATCAAAGTTTTTGAAATGTTTATTACAATCCCATAGTAATACAGTAAATCACAATGTACCACCACTAAACAATGAAGAGCCCAAAGCCCCTTAACCCTTCTCCCCAGCATGCCTTCAAGTCAATAGGTAGGAACACGAGCCACCGTACAGTGGCCGAACTCAAGTACAAAAGGATTCCCTTCCTGCATTTACAATATACTGCATATGTATCTAATAATTGTTGTATTCCAAACCTGGAAAACGGAAGAGTTTTGTTGCAAGGACAAGTATTTACAGAGAACTAGACAAAAACTGAAATAATCTCCCTTCTAGATGAAATCTAGCTTCAGGTTGCAGAAATCTGGCTTCAGGTTGCGGAGTCCTAGAACCAAGAACTGAGGTGGGCTCTATTTACAGCCTATTATATCCAGTGCTACATCTTTAATCGAATACTCAGCTGAGTTTCATGTTATCAACCCCAATTCCTCCAGACCCACTCCCCACAAGGCATGGACTTGCACTAAATCCAGACTTTAACCGCTATCTTAACTTCACCAAAAGAACAAGATGACAAGCAAAATGAACAACTGGTAAGGCCAAAAAATGGTATCTTCCACATTACATCACTGATTTAATCTACAGCAAGGAAATGGGTAACAAAAAGGAGTTACCACAAGAAAAATACTTGGTGGCCCACTTTTTAATATACAAGTACCCACATCACAAGCCCAGTCCTCTGCAGCTATTTGGAAAGAGGTCAAGAGTTCAAAGCAATGGAGAGTTATACAGCGCCGTGCCATTAGCCAATGAGGCTGACGCACAGCTTAGAATACACTAAAGGCTAAACTCACAGTCCAACATAAACAGTTCATTTCTAACACATCCATCACCTTTGCACATGGGCAGCTGCTAACAGTTACAAAAGTAAAAACAACTCAGGAAAACATCTCTGGTTTTTAAGAGTCTCTCCTTTTGGGTCGCTGCTGCTGCTCTTCTAAAAAGGCAGCATTCATGATTCAGTCTCTTATCCTTGGTCATAAGGGGGAAAAGCAGTAGAACTTAAATAACTAGCCAAGGCAACTTCAAGCATAAGCCACATACAACTATTTACAACAAAAAAGAATATATGGTGGGTTCTAAATCTCAAAGCAGAGCTCTGTCAAAAACATTTTTCCTTTGTCACCACTTAATAATTCACATTTATTATCATTTGTGAACTATGAAGCAATCACACTGGACTACTGATAAATAAAAATAGAGGAGGAAAAACTTGTGATGCAAGATCTATGTTGGGCGATCTTTCCTGGCAGCTAAAATTTCCTCAAGCAGAAATCTATTAATTCTTACCTTTTATTTCACACACAGCCATCTTTATACTTCCTTTGCTGCCTTTGCAAACATCATCCTGTGAATCATAGTATGACAATATCCCATTGTCTAAAACAAACCACCGAGGCTGCCAACCTAGCGGGATGAAAAAAATGAAAAAGAATGTTTAGTCTAATTACTAAATTGCAAATCAAATTCAGCTCTTCAGCTGTTAAAACTTTCATAAAAAATGCAAACATTAAACTACTCTTGTGATGCACCTGGAAGTAAGCAATCTGCATGGTCTGAAGACCAGAGCTGCTCCATAACCAGACTAGTAGTATGGATATTTCACTCTCATTCTTTTTGAACGCAAGATCAGCAGTATTTCAATTTTCACTATATTCCATTCTAGAGCAAAATTAATTTAACCACCAAGGAATCCTATTTTGAAGGTTGATAATTTACATACCTCTGAAGAACCCTTCACATTCAAGTACATTTTTGAGGTAGGCTTTCTTAAGATTGTAGGATCTTATTTATAAGAAACAAATAAATGACTGATGTCACCAACCACAATGTTATGGTCTTCTCTGCCTACTGTATTTCAGTGAAAACTTATTTCACGATTAACAACTGACACACCATTTTCTCTGACAGTAGCCCAGCTCCACCACTCAACAGCAATTTAATGTGAGGCATGGTGCAGGGAACTGGCTTATACTCCTAGGTCCATTTGTGAGGACAGCATACACCAGCTCCTCTACTAAGGTTTTCATCAGCTTTCAATTAGCAAAATTGTATTATGATCTCTTACTTCACTACACCTCCAAAACAGAGCAGCATTACATCACATAAATTATTGGCATGGGCATCCTGGATTAAAGTATATTAGCATTCCTTGCCCCCCCCCTCTTTTTTTCCTTTTTCTTAAACAGCTATTTCATAAAACTCGACACTCACTGGAATAGGTGCCCTAATTTCTAACAGTACTAAATGCAAACTGTTTTGCCTGGTAAATCACCTTTGTTTCTAAATACAACATAGACCTGAAATATTCCAGTAGACCATTACAACTACGCTGGCCCATTACAGACTGGGTCTGCTGTACAATATGAGATTATCCCTCTATTTTACAACTTGACACCAAACTTTAACTTCCTGCTTGGCTTAGGGTTTGAAATGGCAATAACTGCGTGGCTGTTTTAACACTAATCCAAGAAGTATAAGACCAAGCCCCATTACATCATGTTACAATACCATGATAAGGAAATAACAACATGTAACTATTTTTTTAATTTATTAGCTATAGTGATAAGCATCTGTATCTTTCAAAATGCAGACTGGTAACTAACAAGCAGATCCACGGATATAAAAACAAGATTAAAAAAAAAAAAAGTACAAACATTGAGGAATCCCAAGTCCCACAAGAAGTATTTTAAATTGTATGTATGCATCACCACTTATACTCAAAGAATAAGCAAACAATCACGAAATGACTGTACTGAAGACTCTGTTCTGTAATATGCAAATCAGAAATGCACTGATTTTTTTTTTCCCTGCTACACTGTGTGGTAAAACATTGACTCTCTGCTGCCCTTATCTCGTAAGTGCATGCACAGCTGTCTCAACAGTCCAATTCTGATAAAAATGGGCCCTACACAGATGATTATTCCAGCCTCATGTTATGCTGGTATTGGAAAAAACAGAGGAAAGGACTTAAAAGATTCCAAGTGCCTCACAGAATCAAGCTAAAGAACAAAAACAGCTCTTCTGGTTTGAAATTGGGCAGAGCGCCCTCTGCTTGTTAAATATTTTGTCAAATTTGTACTCACCATTTTTTAGATGCATACATATTATTCGAGAGGAAAAAAATAAAGCTGTATTTCTGATTTGCTTTTGATGAAGGAGGAAATGAAATGTTTTCCACAATGCTTCAGCAACAACAACAAGCTCCTTCTCTGCTTAGCTTCTACAGTTAATGACAAGTACTACAGCCTATTTCTGGCTATAAAAATAGGTAGTAGAGTAACAAGAAAGTTGGTAATAAAAGGTAAAACATCTAATCATATTAGTGAAATTTCTAATCTTCTGCCTTTCTATATTCTGAAACTGTAGGGAATTCCTGACACACTGGAATTTTGAAATGCATGAACAGATGCTCTCGGTTGGCCAGCACAGAGGGAAGGGTTCTGCAGTTTGCTATTGGAGAGGGCTACCGACTTTTAGCAGAAGTTAGCTGCATGTTGATGCAACAGTCTATTGTGTGTACTCATTAAATAACAGACTTCAAATGGGAAGTTTATATTTATACATAAACACCATAAGGCTCATTACCTTGACCTTTTAACCTTTTGCTACATCAACATTTTTGGTCACATAAATGAAAGTGACAATTTCCATTCTATTTTTAAAAGAAACTTGTACTCATTATTTCTTTCATAACCACAATTTTTCTTATATATGTTTTCTCCACGTTTACTGTGAAGAAATGACTAAAGTACCTTATCAAATACCTATTCAATTACAGTAAAACTGTTCTCTTTCACTGGAAGACCAGTGTGCATGGACATATATTTGCTCTGAAAAACGCAAGATTATGCTCTGCACACTTCAATTCACAGCATGCGCACACAATCCTTGCAATGTGGTCCACGTTTTATAAACCCTCAGAACCGAGTTTCCCACCACTCCACACTCAAAATCTGAATATGCTGAAGCAGAACAGTACACGTGAAGTGCTGAAGAACAAGAGGGCAAAAAAGATATTGCCAAAGCAGTCAAACACGAGGCCTGATTAAGCATGGTATCTGATCCAACACTGATCTGCTCTGGAGGGACAATTAGTCCTCTTACAGTCTCAGAAGAGAAATCTGTTTCACCTTGACAGTACCATCTATCCATTGCTGTCTCCAGAGGGAGATGGTATCTATTGCAACAGAGAATGAGGCAAACAAAACCAGAGCTTTGATAACAAATGCAGGCACTTGGTGCATTTCTGTTTGCAGCACTTCTAAAAAAAACATTTCGTGAAACTTCAACCCAGAACCAAATTTTTCCGTATGTTTTCCGGTTTAAGATAAAGGAGCACCAGACTCAAAAAAACTCTACCATCCAAAAGCAAATTAGAAGAGAATTCACACTTTTGCGTTTAGCACTAAAGATTTAAAGGCACTATCCTAAACCTTTCCTCAACTGCAATCAAGGATACCTTCCAAGCTCGTACGCTGCACATTAAGATTACTCCTGGGAGGAAGCGGAGGCGCAGGGGAAAACCCCCACAGTCGGGCCGCTGGAGCAAGACGCTCCAGGCGGCGTTTCCCTGCCGCCTGCCCTGCCAAGCGTCCCCTGAGGAACCCGGCAGGGCGCAACCCCGGTCTCCAGGGGCCCTTGGCCACCCAGTCCCCAGGGGCTGACCCCGGCGGCCGGGCTGCGGGGCCGGGCCGCCCCCCCCACGCCACACACGCGGAAGCGCGCCGGGAGCCCGCCGTCACGCGCGGGTCGCCTCAGGGCCGCCGGCACCCCCCGCCC